TATCTCAAATTTAACATAGATTTTATTTATATAAACTTTAACTCGTTCATTTTATTCAAATTTTATTTTATATATTTACCTCTAATTATCTTAACTTCTAAATGTATTTCTAATTAGATTTCACTAAATTTGTATAAAATTAAATTAATATTATAAAGTCTTCTAAAATTTAAAAATTATAGAATTAAAATTTATGTATAAATTGACATAAAATGTATCATTAAAAATATTAGAAAAATAGTTATATAATTAACAATATTTTAGTGAATATAACATGACGAATGTCTCACATACCCTTTTGTCATTTTTCATTTTTAAAGAACTAGAAAATTTGTCTCTATAAAATGAAAAAAAAATAAAACTCACATTAAAATTGACATGTACGAAAATAACAATATAATCATATTGATAAATAAAATAAAATTCAAATTAGATTTTGTCTCTAAATTGAATAAATCATTTAACAATAACATTTTCAATCACTCTAATTAATATATATGTTTTAAAAAAATTAGTAATTCAATTTTTTATTTTTAGTATTTATATATTTAATTTTTTTATATATTTGTATAGTTAAATTTTAAATTTGTTTTTTTAAATGATAAATAAACCAATGAACTTTTAGAAAAAATCAATTTGACCTTCAAATTCGATCAGAAAGATCAATTTAGTCCATCTGTCACATCATCAACCACATCATCCGTTATCGTGGATTAACATGTTAACACCGTGAAGAGACACATCAAAACCTTAAATGGTCAATGACGGAAATTGTTGCTCAAAGGACCATATGAGTTTGTTTTCTAAGTTTAACGGTCATATTGGTTGAAAAAATGACAGGAGCCACAATAATTTTTTTTTTCAAAAAATACGAAGATCTCACATACTCTTTTATCAATATTAAATTAAACTTTTCAACTGACGAAACGTGAATATATATAATTATTTACTTATGTAATACATAAATTTAAAATAATAATTTGTTAATAATAATTTTAATATTTTAAAAAGAATTAACAATTAAGTTATAAATATAATTATACAAAATTAAAGTTTGCATGTATAATTTTAATAAGGATCAAATAATAAAACTACATATAACTCTGGTTAAAATACATTAACTTTGATTTGATGAAATAACCTATATATATAATTTTTTATTTTCTTTCAATTGTACATATGTAATTTAATCTTAATTATATATTTTTAAAAATATATACATATTCTTATATAATGTAAATGTGAAATGATATTACATTAATAATAATATGATAACTTTAAAATTTTTAATTAAATTAAAATCTCAATTTACAATTTTATAAAATTTTAATTTAGGTATAATGTTATATATTTTATTAAAATCCAATACTGCCACGTTTCGGGTGGGAATATGTATATCATGTCGCTACTGTGAACTCCTAGTAATGGGCTTCTCCTGGTGACGCCAAATATAAAACACAGACCCCAACAAAAAATGGCTTCCATTCTCAGCTGCAGAGCTCCAGCGCTGGTTTCACCCTCCACAATACGGCGCCGTTTGCAGCTGGTCGGTGTGTTTTTCGTCATCAGTGTGGGATTTTCCAATCTCTGCCCACCTCTTCCCTCTCCCTTTTATCTCAAAACAGGCAGCGCTCAGTCTCTCCCCTCTCTTCCCCTCTTAAGGTAGCGGTTACTCGGTGATTATTTTTAATGCTGATTTTCTTTGGGTTTTAGCTCTAATTTATGTTGGGATTCTTGTTTTAAATCCAAGTTTAGTGCCCAATCAGCAGATAAGACCGTCCACGCTGTGAAAATGGAAGCGAATAGCGACTCTGTTCCAAGCATCGTCGTTTATGTTACAGTTCCCAACAGAGAAGCAGGTTTTCCTTTTTTTTTCTGGGTGTTGAAAGGGTTGATTGTTTAACGTGAATTTTGTGGTTAAATTGAATATGGGTCTGGTGAAAGAAATCATATTTAGTAATTTCAGTATTTGGGAATATAAAGATTTAATTGAGAATGCTTTGCCATTTGCAGATACACTGATTCGAACTTCGATCTACTTGATGACATCTTTTAAGGATAATTGCCTAAACCAATTAAGCTAAACGCCTAAACCCTAATCTTACTTTTCAGTGTTGAAAAGGATTAGACTTTAGAAAATGCCATTTCAGAACCAAGAGTGTAATACAAGTATTAAGTTTGTTGATTCACTTGTATCGTTCTACCTATGGCAATGTTGAATTTCATTACCTTTTCTCTTCTTGATATTAAGGTTTCTGCTTACTTTGCTGAATAATTCATTTCCATGTATTGGATATTTATAGTAGTTGAAACTTGAAAGTAGCTTTCTAAAAGTAATGTATGATCCATACGCAGGTAAGAAGTTAGCTGGAAGCATTGTCAAAGAGAAACTTGCAGCATGTGTAAATATAGTACCAGGTTAAGTTTATAATTCTTTTAGTTTGTGCCATAATGCATTCTATTTCAGATATGGGAATGTACTGTTTTGTGATTGTGCTATTGTACATTATGTGTGTGTTAGTCTATAGATTGCCTATCAAGTTTGCATGTTTAACCTTATCAAAAGAAAAAAGTTGGCATGTTTAAAACTAAATATTGAAATCATCGATCAGCTAGTTGATATCCGTTTTACGAAGTGAATGTGTGCCTCTCAATATCTTGAAAAGATATTTGGAATAAGTCGTTTCTCTAGTTTATTCAATTTCAATATAGCAATTCGTACATAAGTGATCTTGTAGTTTGAATGTTTTGCTTTACAGTAATAACTCTTGTATTCTGTTTTATAAGATCCCTTGAACTGAATTGAGTTGGTCTTTCGCTGCTCAACTTGCTTTTTGAAATGTTCCCTATCTTTTCTTTTTAATTTCATTAGGGACAGTTTGTTTCCAGTTTATAGTGATTTTTCTTCAATCATGGTTGTTTTGTGGATGCAGGTATTGAATCAGTATATGAATGGGAGGGAAAGGTGGACTTTCTTTTGTTGAACTTATTCTCTTAAAATATTAAGGCTTAAGATTTTGCCCAAAAAAATGAGATTTTGAGAATCTAGAAGAGAAATCCTTTTAATTCTCAAAGCTTTTGCTTAGGGGGTCAATCTAGACATTTCTGATGGTTGTTGTCTGGCTAAGTTTGTATGCATATATACAAACAGTCACATAAGTAATAAGATTACGTCTAGGCTTGTTTAACCTAATTGTGTCTCTTTGGCTGCAGATCAACTCCGATCCTGAGGAACTGCTCATAATCAAGACAAGGCAATCCCTTCTTGAAGCTCTAACAGAGCATGTCAAGGCAAATCATGAATATGAGTAAGCACGAAACCCGCTTTATATATTTTCAACAATATAAAAATTGTTCCGTCTAGAACTTAAAGTTAGAAATTGCAACTGAAGCATGGATTAAGGATTGTTTTAACAAGAACATAATTAATTTGTTTGTTATTCTTTTCGGTACATTATTTTACACTTTTATTTTAACCCCTTTTAAAGCTAATAAAAGAGCATCACTTTTAAATAAGCCAAAGCATGCTTGATCATTTTGTGGAACTTGCCTTTTTTTTATTTTTTTTCAGTGTACCAGAAGTAATTGCCTTACCCATCACTGGTGGCAGCCCGCGGTATCTAAACTGGCTCAAGAACAGTACAAGGGACTGAGTTTCCCAGACGTGATATTTTCCGGAACGCTTGAAACCATTATGTAGTATTTTCCTTTAAGATGCCAAATCTCATATGGTTTGCATGGATAGATGCCACTAGCACACTAGAATAAAGTTGGCATGTCATGCTTACAATATGAAAAGTCAAAATCGAGTTATGATAGGAAGAATCGTTTTAGAGTGAGTGACTTTGGATGTAAGACATGGAATTCTATTTGATAAATACAGGGGCAACTCGTATTCAATAATGTAAGTATTTGATCCCCTCAATTTCTGCTTGCTTTCTGAACTATATTGCATGCGAATGGTGCTCATCGTGTAAAGGTCCTACTATTCTGCATTGTGTATTTCTCATGCTTTAGGTTTAGGTCACCGGTTTGGTGTGAGAATAGATTGTTGGCCAACTGGTCATTATGCTAGGACAAGCTGCTTAGTTGGGGGTTGAACTAGAAGAGGCAATTCGTGTTGGATCATATACATGGACCTGTTAGATGAAACACAAACACCTATTTAGTTACAAGTTCATTCTCACATACTTTTTTGTTGTTTTAGCAACCAATGCTGGGAGTTGACACTCTACCTTCCAAGTCTTCAATATTGCTAAAGAGTTGGAGCTTATCTATTTATCAGCCTAGGACCTGTAGAATCTTTTTTACATTGTAAAATTCCTTTAACACCCCCCAAATTATTAGGGTTAATGACTTCTACGGCCCTTACAGTTGAGAAAACAATAAAAATTTTATCGATCCCTTAATTTAACCGGTTCTAACAGAGATCGATTTTGTTGGTTATTTCTGAGTTTTGGGTTTTTTAAATTGTGAAGTGAATCAGTCGACAAACTGTCCTATTTAAGTCGTTTCTCAATTATATCCATTTAAGTCGACCGGTTCAATTTTTATAAATCATAATAAGTTGGAATGATTTAAAAAAAAACGATTGAGGGGATGGATTAAATCGTTTGTTCTCCCGAACAAGGGAGTACAAACACTCCACAAAACAACGATCAAAATGACATTAATTATTGGCCGGTTGATCTGATCTTCCACGTTTGGTCAATGAATTAAAGATGCTTTCTTTGCTCAACAGAACAAGAGAAACACCGAAACTAAGAAATACAAAAAGAAGCCAAGGAAGACGTTGCCTCCACGTTTCTGTACACGAGATTGATTGTTTTACAAAGACTTCCTAAAGCTAAACCCTTCTAATGTTTTAATAATAGGTAAAGCTTACAACGTAGGCAACAACGTAAACGAGTTATCTTTCTAGAAAAACAAAATAAAATTCTAAAAACTAAAATTTCAGACTCTACCAATAAGCATCAGCATATCCCGGTCACAAACAGCAAAATTATTGAGATTAAAAGGCTGATTAAGCCATCGCATGATGCCAAATTGCCAATGAGTTTTAATTGCAGTCAGAAATTCTCCAATAAAAGAAAACAATATATACAATGATTAAATCTAAAAAGTGTAAGGAATGAATCCACAGCACGAAAAAGAATGGTATTCTTGTTAACAACAAGCTGGCAATTTGACAGCATGAGAGCATAAACACTACACGGATTTCCAGCACACCATGCTTTGTTGTCCATGTAATGTAAAGATATCAGATAAGTTTCGAAAGTACGTTACAAGAAGTCCAGAAGGCTTTCGATGCTGCTTGGTAAAGTAAAGGGTTTTGGTATATCCTGTTGAGAACAAACAAAAAAACAAATGGATTTTTTCAGCCAAAAGAAATTAAACGAAATCCAAATAACAGAATAGCAAAGATGCCCCATGTTTATAGGCAAAAGCTGCGTTAGAGAACTTCTACAAGCAAATTGAGGAACTGAGAGACACTTGTTTGCCAAGATTAAAACCATAACTCACCCAACTGCAGTTGCTCCCCAAGATGCAACGTTATAAATGACTTTACTTCCATCCCATGCTCTTCGAAGCTTTCCCTTTTTCTTTTTTACAGAGAAGGTCTTGCTCAGTGCTACAAGAGAATTGTAAAGAATGTCAGAATTCCTATGCCGGACAAATGACTGGACTTATAGCATCAATTATGGAATAAAAGATAATTGAGATGAAAAATATAAAAATGGCAGCCTGTTTTTCCTACTACAGTATATTAACCTGGGATTGCAACTGGATTAATCAATAACAACCCGGTAAAAGATGACATAAAACCAATAAGAAACCCAATTTTGTATTTGTTTCCAAAATTTTGTTTATAATTGATTATTTGAACCTTTAACCTATAGTAAAGATCATGTCATTAAGCCAATTTTTTTTATTAATTACGAATTATATTTGATATTTATTTTATTACTATTTTTAAATATTTAAAAGAGGAGTTTTGATCAAAGTGGAAGCCTGACTGGTTCAACTTCTGCTTCAATCTTTTACACTGAATTTCTTTAGAGTGGAATATCACACGAGTACAAACAAACTCACCTTCCTGAAGTTGATTGGGGGTCAAATCCTGGGGAAGAAAACAACAATAAAACACTTTAGCCTCCAGCGGTGAATTAATGAAAATGCATGTAGACAGTTTTGTTTGGGCTGCCAGAAAGTAAGGCCCCAAACGAGCTTTGAAATGAAACCATCAAAATTTTCCGGCTTTAAGTATAATACAAGTGAATGACAACAAAGAATATAGAAAAATAATAACACCGAAAAAGAGCAAGAATTTCACATACCTTAGTCTGTTTAAGGGACAGCAAATATGCAGCCATAAAACAAGCAACACCTTCTACTATATCCTCCTGCCTAACAAGAATATAATCTTCTCCATCTAAATCAACAACTTCATCTTCCCAAAGATCATTTTCGTTGATCATGTCCCAAGAACTACAATCTCCTGGGTCCATATTAGAATTTCATTAGCATCCAGAAAAACAAAGATGCATGTTCAAACCATTTGCAATCAATTGAAAATGGCATATGCTAACAAATTAAAGGGGTCTTTGGATGCATACCGGCAATGTCTTCTGGAACAGCCACCTGAGCACACTCTAGCTTTTCAAGGAAGTCAGAGCATTGAACTCTAGATTTGAGAAGATAGCATAACTGCATTTATACAAAAGGTGCATAAACTTTGAAAGTAATTTGGAAATATTTGATATGAAAGGCAATTCCAATCTCATATACTATTGCAAATTTAGTAGATCTCCTAATGACCATATTTAAGTGGATTTTTTCCATAAAAGATGCAGATTGAAAAGAGAAGCATAAAAGTGTAATATGGGAATTTATTTTGATCCCAATATTTAGTAAACAGGTGACTGCAAAGTGGAATACAATGACAGAACAGCTACCGAAACACACACACAAACTTAACACTCCAAAGAAGAATACAACCATCAGATGAATAAATAAATTTCTTCATATTCCCCAACCATCAGACTCAACTTCTAGATGAACAGAAGAAGGTTCCAGTTTATCACAAACTTCGGGCTCTGCTTTATAATTTCATTTATCCAATTAGAAATCCACTTGTATTAGTTCCCAATCTTATATCTTTGTACCGAAATTCAAATTCATATTATGAATATTATGAATGAGAAGTTTCAATAACTTCTTGGTGCTTCGTTCTCATTTATTTCCCTTTTCGAAGTAAATAATTGCATGCAAAGACAGAAACAAAAACATAAGAAAGGAGCATGGCAATTGAGTTGACATCAATGAGACAAAGGCTATGAGGCAAACGGACTCTTAAGCAAAGAAAGACATCATATAACAAATCTGACAAGGTGAAGTGTGTAAACTGTAATCTATTCGTCCAATTTATCTTTCTATCCTCTGGCAAGCTTTTTCAATTTGATAGAGAAAGAATGCAATCCAGTCAATTTAGCTCTTAATCAACAATAATTTATCCCTCATGACAGCATAAACACTTCTCAACCAAGCCAAAACTCGAAAGTGAAAGTCATCACAGCAAAACCTGCATATGTAACTTATTTCCTAGCAAAACTTTACCTATAAGCATACAGAAGCAAAAGAAAGTACCGGACAGTTGACATAGATACGCAATTGATGAATCAAAACAAGAGAATTGTCCGACTGAGAACTGCCATTTAGCTATAATATAAGTCCAAATGCCTCATTCAGTCTGAGCTCAACCGAGATCCGAATTATCTATCACTCAAGGATGAAATGCATAATCCTAATGAACTACATAACGTAGCTGAACCTCTATGAATTAAAATTTTCATAGTTTTCTGACATCGAATTCTCCATAACAAAGCATAGAATGAGATTAAACAAACTAAATCTTCACATGGACAAAACAAATCCACCAAAATGAAGTTTGTTCTTACGAGTTAAAAAAGCTGCATATGTAAGATTCTCGCCTGGAATTTCCAGAATCAAAACTCTTAGAAAACAAACAACAAACAAAAAGAATTACACAGACCTCGTCAGCTTCTTGGTCACTTTTAAGTCCGCCACCGCTGACTTCCCCTCGACGATCTACATCTTCTTTATCATATCTATCTTCTCCGTCATTATCGTTATCGTCAACTCCAACTTCGGCTTTATTAAGCAATTCGAGAGCTCTCTGGCACTGTTCCAGCACGGCTTGCAAAGTCTTCCTCTTAACGCGAACCTGATCCTTCTCTTCCAAAAATTTTCCCTTCATCTCCCAACCTTCCACCGCCAAGGATTCGTTGCTAGAACTCATATAGCCAACCCTAAAACAATTAAGCCTTAAATTTCAAATTCAATCAATTTTTTAAATTGTCGTCTCCTAAGGGAATAGGAAATGGAAGGAGTGTAATTGAATTTTATTTTATCTTCTTCGTAAAATAGACGGAGATTAAGAGGAAAAACATGAAATTTTTTTTGGTTGAAAAAAAAATGTAAATGTTATTTTTTGTGGAGAAAGAGAGGAGCGGGGAAGAGGAGTATAGGTTGTAGCCGCCGTGCCAGCTGTGGCGTTTGGAACGGCTTACACGCTGGATTTTGAGGTCCGTTCTGTTTTGGGTAGCGTGCCCCACCTCACGGGGCAATTACAGTTTCGTCAATTTATATTAACATTAAACTTGTTTTTAGTTCCAACTAATTGGTAAAGAACACAAATGGTATTTGACTATATGATATTGTTTTCTTAAGTTCATCGATTATTAAAAGTTACAAAATGATCATCCGATTATATAGTATTATTTTATTGAGTCCCTCGACTATTAAAAGTTACAAAATGGTCACTCGACTATTCATTATATTCCAGACTCGTCATTCTCTGTTAAAAAATTGACGATTGTCTAAGTTGAAAGTTAACATGATGACTGGATGTGATGATCGTTTGAAATTATGGTATCAGATTTTATCATATCATAGACAGTAAGTTAACATTTAGCTCAAAATATCATCATTTTAAATGGAAAAATACGAGTTTGGAACATAATGAATCGCCAAGTAACCATTTTATAACTTTTGATAGTCGAATGACCCAACAAAGGAACACTTTATAGTATATAGTCGGAAGATCATTTTATAACTTCTAATAGTAGAGGAACTTAATAAAGTGTTACCCTATAGTCGGGGGTTTTGTTACACTCCCGGATCCAAAGACTTCGTCCTGATCAATTTAGTGGGTGAATCTCCTAGTAGAGATTTTATGCATACATAAAGAGTCGAACTTGATGCCTTACTTAAGCGATATCAAGCCGCTTATCACTTAACCTGTAACACCTTAATTTAGGGGCTAAAGTTTAGGAATTTTTAAAGTGGTGAATTTAATTGGTATTTTGAAAGAAATGGTGGATTAAATTGTAAAATTTCAAAGTTGGCAGACCATTTTAATAAGTACAGGAAATTCAGTGGCTAAACTCATGATTTAACCATTTTTTATATGTTGAATTATAAATTCCCTGTGCGCAGGTTCAACAAATTTTTTTCCCAGATTCCCTCTCCAACAACCGTCCTTTCAAGTTCGATCTATTCGTCGTCCGACCTCCGATCGACGAACCGAAACCACCATCATGTTCATTGTCGATCGAGGAACAAAACCCCTCAAACCTTTGTCGTGAATCGTCGCCGTTCGTCGTTAATTTCAGTCGGAAGTATCGTCGGTAATAACTCGGTTTCAGTTGATTTTTCGTCGATTCACGACGATCCGGTTATCCGTTTACGACACCTCCCGCACCATCGTGTTCCTTGCATCGTTCCGAGTCCACCGGTGTTCTCTGTTTCTCCGTCATCGCCGGCGCGTGGAGGGGTGAGACCGTCAAAGTTTTCAACATTTCGGAATCGAGCTCTCCGCCGTTCAAAATTGTAAACCGAGCTTTGTAAGTGCCTCAAAATCGCTTAAAATAATTTTTAGGAATTTTTTTGAGAATTTTCCGACACCGTATCACTGTTCACGCGCCCCACGCGCCACCCTCGAGAGTGGATAATTTCGTAAATATTTGCAGAAGGTGGCTAATTTTGTAATTAATTTCTGTTAGGGTAATATTTGTGTAAAATGGTCGATTGTTGACCGTTGATCGGCACTGACCACAGTTGAACAGAACTTTGACCGGCATTAAACGACCTTTGACTTTGACCGAGTATACCCTATTATGACATTTTTTGACGTTCCAAATCCGGTTCTGCAGTTTGTTTTTCGAAATTCGAACCCAAAGGCCTTGAAATTGCCATTCAAACCCGTTGACTTTGATTTTGACCTAAAATTCCAAATTTTCAAAAAGTCATATTTTATGCTTTCGACATCCTGAATCCGAATCCGAAGTCCGTTTCGCCAAAATCAAACTCGGTAAGATGTTTTTGACTAATTTATCATCCGATTCGATTCGTTTTTCAGAATTAAGCTCCGTTTTTTATGTAATTTCTGTTGATATCGATCAGAGGAAATATTGGAAGATGATTTCAAGATCAAGGGCGTTCGAATGGAATTTAATGGTCGATCAGTATTGCACAAAAATTGAGGTAATACTTTACTACCTCTTTTTGCTTTATTGAACATATGAATATTGGTAAATGTATGAATAAGATAATGTTGGACTCATTTGTGTAGTTAATGAATTCTTACACTCGATCCGAACACAGTAGAAATTTGGCAACTGATTATGGTTCAGATGATTAATATAGGAGATTGAGAGATTGTTAGAATTAAATTACAAGTTTTGTGATTAGTGATAAAGGAATCAACCCTGGATTTGTAACTTATATGTTATATCAACAAAGGTTAAATATTAAAGATACTCATATGAGAAATTATGAGAATACTCTGGTTGGGTAAAATTACGAAAATATCCTTATATTGTAAGATGACAAGAATTGTCTCTGGAAGTTGGTTAATAACTCTGAAAAGACAATTTGATCCGGTAAAAATTACTGATGTGCATAAGAAATGTTAGTTTTGCTTAGAAAATACGGATAACTGGTTTTTAACCCCATGAGGGTTTGAGCAAGATGCTAGAAATCTATTAAGGAATCATTTCAAGATCAGAGAATGTTCGGGAAAGCAATTAACCATAGGATCTTTAAATTATAATTATTTTCGTTAAGAGCTAATATCGAAATTATCTGGTTAAGAAATTACGAAAATGCCCTTGAGAGATAAAATAGTATGAGTTGACCCTGAATGAGAAAATACCTTGAGAATTTGTACTTAACTCGATTAAGTACGAATTTAATTGTTAAGATCTTGTCTTTGTACAGAAAAATTCATGATATTCCGTTTGTAAAATCTGAGAAGGCCCTTGACCCGAAAATATTTAAGTAATGAGTAAATACCTGAAGAATAATTTATCGGGGTGTTGGGATTTTTGAAAGCTCGATTCGACAACCGGAACGGTTTGCAAAGAGGAGTCAGAACGGTTTTTGAGTTTAGGGAGTAAGGAGATTGAAAGATAGAAAATTGCGCAGCGATTTAGAGTGGTTCGACTTTCTAAACCAATGTCTACGTCCACTACCTTAGCTCCTCACCAAGGATTTTCCAACAAATTCACTAATTTGTTCTTTCTTTTGAGGACAAAGAGATAACCTTACAACTCCCTAGTTTTTCCCGGCTAAACTAGAATCTTTCCTTAGCTTTTATACGGGATAAGCTAGAACCTTTCCCCTTTACAAAAGGATAAAATAAGTAAACAAGAAAACCTCTCTAAGGTAGGTGTTTACAAGATTGAGCTCACAAGAACAAAATATTTACAAGAGAAAGATGAAATAAGATTGAAATACTCTTCTCTTGTGTTTGATTGCTTGGATAGTTGTTCTCATACTTCTTCAAGTGTATTTAGCTTGTATTTATAGCTTGGAATGTGTTTGATGTTGTATATAACCATTGGGGATGTTTTGGAGCCATTTGGGGATGATTTTTCTAATCAAAAAGGCTGCCCATAACATGGTGCATCGATGCACTATCAAGGTGCATCGATACCCATTCATTAAATTCAAGTAAACTAGTTGTTACTAGCCATTGCAGCCTTCGTGCATGGATGCACAGCAGGATGCATCGATGCACAAAAGGATACATCGTTGCACTAATTGCATTCGGTGTTTGAGTGCATGGATGCACTTCATGATGCATCGATACACTAGTGCACCTGCATTCGGTGTTTGAGTGCATCGATGCACTAGTGCAGGTGCATGGATGCACTGCAGGGATGCATGGATGCACTGCAAGGATGCATGGATGCACTGCAGGGGTGCATGGATGCACTTTGACACCCTTTAGCATTTTGGCTCAAATCTGAATTTAATGGACTTTGAATTATTTTTGAAACCTTTTAAAACTTTGCATAAATTCAATTAAGTCCAAAAACATTTTGTAAATTCAAACCATTTTGCCTTAAATTGTTATATCAAAACATAGTTCAACAATCTCCCCCTTTTTGATATAACAAAACATTTGAAAAATTATTTTTGGCAAAACTCCCCCTTAATAAATTGTTTAATGAAAAAGATATCAATTTTTAACAATTGTTGGAAAATATATGAAAATGTTAAGCTCCCCCTTTTTCATTTAGAAATTGAATTTTTCAAACCAAACTTCTCCCCTTTTTTGTTATATCAAAAATAATTCGATCTTTGAAGTTCAAAATAACTTTGGAGAGTAAGTGGTAAATTTGACATTTAAAAATCATTTGAAAAATCAAAGCTCTCCCTCAATAAATGCATTCCAATCAAAATTTAGCTTTAAGAACTTGACACTTAAACAAAATTGAATTTCAACAAAGAATAACAAACATGTTAGTAGTACATGAAATTCAATATATCTAAGTCTAAAATACTTTATGCAATATCAATTGTTGAAATTTGATATTAATACCAATTGTTTAAAATTAAGTGCTTTGCATAAAGTTCCCAAAAATTTTATGCATTTTGAAAATTTTGATATCAATTGTTAGAGAGATATCATTTTCATTTAAACCAATGCATAATCATTTAAATTTAGGTCAAAAATTTAAAATTTGTAAATTCAAAACATTTGAAAAGTTAATATCAATTGTTAGAGAGATATCATTTGCATTTAAAACCAATTTTGACCAAAATTCATTATGATGAACTAAAAATTCTGAAAATTTATTAAGACATTAAAATGTTCATCATAATTTCCTTTTAACATACATGAGATTAAAAATAATACATAATTATTTAAAATCAAAACTCATGCATGCTTAAAATTAAATGAGCAACCAAATAACCAAAATTAAAAGCATTAAGCTTAGAGGTTACCCATTCCTTTTTCATGTGTGGCTAGAGCATCTTGAATATTATCATCTTCATCACCATTTCTCCCACACACCTACAAGAGACATTCATTTCGATTTTGGTATCCAATTTGCTTTGGATCCTTG